TCTTTTATACCAACGTGGTAACAACATTGTAGCAGTGTGGGTACTGCATAGTGAAGAGTTGCAAACTATTTCCCGTTCTAATGGCCTAATCAACTATGTCTCGCTTTCGGCGTTTAAGATTTGATATTTGATATAAATTGTTCTAAATTTTAAATGTAATACAGACATGACAAACAAAATAATCGACGTAATTATTTTGTTTATTATGAAAAATAACAACTTGGTAGTTAGCTATATTACGTCTCTTTGTAAAATATAATTACACGGTAAACAGGTTAAAAATAAAAATTCTATAGTACTGTATGCCGTTACTCATATTTAAAAATACCAGTGTATGTAACTATCCACTGCGTTAATTTTTAGTACGATTTATTTTAAAACAAAGCCCAACCGAATATTTGCTGTATCTTTCCATTGAATAATATTATATAAATACTCATAAAGATATATAATTTGTAAAATTTAATGAAGAACCAAATCATATTTAGCTATCAAGGTTAACCGGATTCCGTGAGTTTAAGCAACGTAAATTAATGTCGTTTTCGACGAATCATATCAGGCACTATCAGATGTAGCGATTTCAAGAGTAATGTGTCAAGGATGCTGATTATCGTATATCAGGTATGAGCCTGCAGATGCGTAAACCTGTCTGCATATGCGTCAAAGCACTATTCACACTGTTCCAAGTTCATAAACTGTAAATGCTCTTCAACAAAAAATTGCTTATTCACATTTTATTTGTTGAACATGTTTACAAAACTTCGAGTGCGAAGTGTCTGAGCTCTCGGTGTCTCAGAGAATGCCTTCAAGTACTCAAGGTGCTGTTAGTTCTATTTCTCACATGACATGTCGAAATTTTACCATATGTATCTATTAGTTATTTTTGTATGTAAAATGACTACAGGAGTTTCAGTATGCAATATTTACTAAAACAAGGACACTGCGATATGTACATTTTAACACTGATGCTGAAATGCAATGATACCTTATATGATATGATCTGAAGTTGTGTGATTGGCAATTAACAAACATTACAGGCAAACGTGCAGTATGTGCATAACCTTGACTAAATCGAAATTAAATCTGTTTAAGTAATTTGTAATACTAAAGACATTGATCAGTACCTACTTACACTTAAGGATTTACGAGACGTACAATGTAAAATGAAAGGTTTCGATAAGTTACAAAATTGCAACATCATCCGACAATCCTTATTTTATGTAGATATAAGATCAGCAGTATAACCTACTTGTACAGTCTCAAATCATTTTTATATATTATAGTTCTTTAAATTATTATATACGAACTACGTTGGTATCTTATTGTAAACTATACATATTATAAATAACTAACTATATATATTATAAAGAGGAAAGATTTGATTGTTTATTTGTTCGTTTGTGATGGATAAACTTAAAAACTATATAACCGATTTAAAAAATAGAAAACTATGTATATTAACAGCGAGTACTATATATTAAAATATTTTCAAAAGAATTAAAGATCTCTACGAAAGCTACAATAATATATCAATAGGTATCAAACATTTGCTAATTAATATAAAATACTAATTTATCTTCCTATCTATCTGTGAATATTAATTTTCATTTACACAAAAATAAGGTATATATGTAAAATATTATTTTACAGAGGTAATAATAACCAAGGAAATTATAAATTTTGTTTGATGATCTCCATCAAACGAAATTTATATTATTTCATTCATTATTTCTTATTTTGTTTTCTTTCCTATTAAGTTAGCCGTTGCGGTAGGTACCGTTAATAAACGAAATAACAAATCGAGCGCTATTCTCTCTCTTATAATAGGTAACCGTCCGCCTTTTACTTTGTCTGTCTATTAAAGGTTCAATAATAAATAAATAGCAATATTAACATTATAATCTGTATCATTATTTGAAAAGAACAATAAAGAGTTTTCATTCATTCATTAATTTCATTCACAGTGGATTAAATGCACTAACTATCTTGTCTGGGATTATAGTCATGATGATGTTTTAGATGACAACTATAAATCATTCAATTTGCACTCAACAAATAATTAGATCAAGTAGCAGATAAGTGATCTCGATCGTACAAGACGCTTGCGATTGCAACACACACGGAAATATTTCCCGCGCAGCGGAGCGTCGCGTGGCATTGACATACATAATCACCTGTTCAGCAATAAAAGACAGTACAGTATAATTAGATAAAACATGATTATGATGTTGTTAATGTAGATAGCACCTTACTTGTAATTAACGAGCAACAATGAGCAAAAAAATTTTTTTTTAATTATGTTTAATAAGTTGGACAACGGTCAGTGTTGTCTCATTATTTTGAGCGTATATTGTCAAGTTAGTCTGTTATATGGCATGCGATACGATTATTTTGATGCAAAAATAAATTAAAATATTCATTAATAAAATAAATTATTTCAATCTTGACAAAATTAACATAGAACTAATTTTAGTGTTTAAATTTTCCATTAATAAAAAATTTAAACACTTTTTTTCAACTTCAAAGTTCTTTTATTCAAACGATAAGAATATAAAAAAATATTTGTATCAGAACTGTCGAATATTAAAACATACTCATATAAATATGGTTAAATTAAAAGACTCTTCTCTTTGAAAGTCTGTTAACAGTACATTGAGATCTGTCTCGCGTCTTTGTAGGCTTAAATGATTTATACTTTTATTTTTAAAAGAACCGTATAAATTCTTCACAGCAATAAAAGTGTACGAAATTCTAGACGAGCTCAATACATTCGTAAGTGTAAAACGTATAAATAAAGAAAATATAATAATATGAAAGTTGGTTATACAAACAAGAGTTGACAATGCACGCCCACAGCAGCCTTCGGCATTGCCCGTTACTTTCTATGCATTCGGCATTACTCGGCAGATTTATAAAAATAATATTATAACCGTTCGTGGTCACTAATGATCAGATCCGGCAGGTTGTCTATAGATGGTAGGCACTCGTACATTCATCTTTTTCAAGTGTCATTCAAGTTCAAGACCACGTGAGGTCGTTGCACTTTTTCTGGTTTTCTATGCCTAACTTATCCACTGACAGTTGGGGCTACTTTGATTATTTTTGAGCTCATTTTATTGTTTGCACTTTATTTTTATTATATGCATATAACTAACTGTTTTACGTAACTTTGCCCGTGAGAATCAATATATAACGCACCCTATGTGTTCGGCTAGACTATAATCTGTTTGTGTACCAAATTCCATACAAATCCATTCAGCTGTAAGCGTAATTGAGTAATAAATATCCAAACACCTTTACAATAGTTCATATTTATAACGTTAGTAAAATTCTATCAATCCTTCATATTTCTTTTAACATGAAAACAAAAATGGTAAGTCTATAGTGGACTGGGCAGGACGACAGGGCTCACAGTCGCGTCATCTTGGCTTATCCAAAAAGATGTCGCAGCAGGTCTCGTATGCGTTGGAGAGACGTTATATTCTAACAAATTAGCACATAGAATACTTTACGTACTGATTCGCGCGGGCAAAACTACGGGATACAGCTAGCCATAAATATTAATGAAATATACATGTGCACAAAAAGTACATCAATTACTCATTTTAGTTTAATTAATAATCTAACGGAAGATATGTTTCGTTCCCGCGCACATAATAAAAAATAAGATGCCAGATGTTGCTGTCTCTTTTTATTTCATGCATACGACAGCGATGACGTATTTAACGACAGATTCGTTTACCACTTATCTAGAGACGAACTCGAAAATTCCCATTAAATATTGTTAGTATACATGTATTTTATACTAAGTTATTTATTTTCATGAATAAACACTGTTGGTAGCTTTTGGTATAGGTACCTCTCCATTACAAAAGAAGTAATCCTATATATTTGGAATAATGTGAACCTTTAATTTATTCTTTGAATAAATAATATCTATGCATCATCATTCACTTGACTGCATAAAAAGCACTATAAGATATTACAGTAATTGACACTTAAATTTTACGTTACTCTCTTGTCGACTTTCTCAAATAGAATGCATTTAATTTTATTGTTTTCTTAATTGATTTTTCATCATTACATATCGAATACACGCACAAAATAATAAAAAATTTAATGGCTTGTTTCTAGTACCGTTAAGCTGGTGGCTAAGCTTACGAGATAGGAGAAAAAGGGATTGTTAGTAATGGAGACTGAGAATCCCATTGCTAGCAATATACCCAACCAAGTCAACCTCCTCGCGGTTCTCCCTGGAAACTATCATGGTTAATTCCTAAAGAATTCATCATGATGGACTAACTGGCCTGTTTTCATTCTCATCTATCACCCTTCACTGGTGCCTCGACAGCGTATCCCGTTAGCGCAGGCGTGGTTACCGTACCTTTTTCACCCATCAAAAAAAAAAAAGCTTACGAGATCGTTCATCTTTTGTAGAACATCCATCAAATAACACATATTATAAGTTATCCACTCATACGAGTATACAAAATATTTTTTTCTTGCATAACTTAATTTATTTATTAATCATCATATTAGCCCTTAATAGCCCTCATCCAGGAGAGTTTTGCCAGTAGTTACAACGCTTGGCAGGCGGATTGGCAACCGCAGTTAGACGCTGCTGCCCATATCTCGACCATTAAATTAGTCACTTTTTACGCCAACCCACGGGAAAGGGAGATCCAAATTATACCGGGACTAAGGGTAGGATATGGTAGTGAAATTATAAAATATGGCGACATGACATATTTTTCAGGAATGACAATTTTATAATATCGAATATTGTCCATGACACTATTCATGTATTCAACACTTTCCATCACGTTGGTTATTGTCGAGGCCGAAAAATAATTAATTCCGATTGTAATATCTGAATTTATAGGTACATTTGGAGTAATTATAATACTTGAATTATATATAAATTTTATTCTAATAGATTTTTTAACCTGGTTTAGCAGCATTATCATATATGTATTATAATCTTTGAATTTTTGTTTTAGGTTTAGAAGACACTGTGAAACTAGTGAAAGGTATTGGCGGGAACTGCTATGGTTATACAGTAGATCTTGCTAACAGAGAAGACATCTATAGAGTCGCTAAAAAGGTGGAAGAAGAAGTGGGCAGGGTAAGTTGCATTTCTGAAAATATAGCTATTAAATTAATAAAATGTCGTAACAGAAGAAAGAAATTAATTAAAAACTAGCGTTTACCTGCAACTTCTTCTGCGTGACCGGATTATGTTCAGGAGCCCGGAAAAATATCATTCTCCATCTCGTATAATAAGTATATACTAAATTATATAGTGATTAATTAAGCCGTTAACGTGCTAAGAAGTAACAAACAAACAAATTTTTGTAATTATAATATTAGTAAATATATCGATAATTTATGGAGATTGTAGAACGACATCAATTCTAATTTTAATAGATTTCCATAATGGTAAACAGGAACAAGATCAATGACAAAAGAGAAACGTAACATTCCATTACTGAGTACAAATATTTATCTCTAAGAAAAGGTCACTATTATCATGCTGACTAGGTGATTAGTATAGGATTTAAAGTTTTACTTGTTTTACATTTGTGTATTGTGTTTTGTTTCTTTAATCGGCACTTTTAATTTTTACTCTGTCACCACAAAATAATGTGTGGTTGCAATTTAAGCCCATAGAGTCTCAATTCAATTCTAGAAGTCAGGATATAATTTGATTTGTTTTGCAAATACCTAATTATTGTCTAAAGTTTAAAAGTTGTACAATATTTAGTACTTTATCGATTTGACTTAGGAACGACATACAGGTCGACAATAAAATTCAGCTTGTTTACTGTAATAATAGTAATCGCATACCGTTAATCCACGAGCTTAAATAAGTATGTGTAAAAAAAATACACGAAAGTTTTAAATTAATTAATAGAATATTAATGTAAATCAATTTATAATCTGTGTATAATATTGAGGTGAGGTGAGTAGATGTCAACGGTTAAGAAGATTTCCATAAGTAACATTTTATATATACAATTTCTCTTTCTTTTTTTTCGAGAGGTTATTATGATTAAAGAAAAATATCTGCATTAATAATTTTATTTTGCACCCAATATAAAAACAGAATCAATTTAGAGCACAATAAAAAATATTCGGCGTTTCATTTTCAATCCAAAATAAGGATCGTTTCACATTAACAAGACTAAAGTGGTATTGGCTTAAGACTGGTAGAAATTTTATCTTGTCAGTTTTGATGTTATAATAATTTAGGTATTTAATATGTTAGAAAGCATCATTAAAATAACAATCAAAATTTAATTAAATATAATAAGATTTCCTTTTGAATACAAAGAGATTGACTATTGTCGTTAAACGTTACACTCTACTTTAACATTCAGTCTAACATATTTCACTAGATACATATTTACTCATTTATTGTATTAATAATGTGAATAATTTTTTTTTTTTTAATAATATACATCTTTAGTGTGCAAATAGCTACACAATTACAGCATAAAATGATCGACTGCCTACCTAAGGTACGGTAGGTATTCATTATAACCTCTGCCATTCTGAATCAATCAACCATAACATAATTTGATATCTATATAAATATTGCTTACCTTGAACATTTACATATTTTTTATAGCATCAATATTGTTGTTAAGATTTGCGACTTGGCCTCTGCTAATTGTTTTTTATCGTTATATCTCTCTGAGGAATGAGGCATCGATTAAGAGAGTAATCGATCCCTTTTTCCTAAGTATCGCTACTCTGGGGGAAAAGGGATTGTTAGTAATAGAGACTGAGAATCCCATTGCTAGCAATATACCCAACCAGGTCGACCTCCTCGCGGTTCTCTCTGGAAACTATCATGGTTAATTCCTGATGAATTCATCATGATGGGCTATATGGCCTGTTTTCATTCTCATCTATCACGTGTATGAACGTGTGCTGTTTTTGAATATCCAATACTCAAAAACAGCACACGTTCGCAAATGTAAAAAAATAAGCAGCATTCGTCGTATTTAATACTTTATAGAATCCAATCACCCGTCTATTACAACTAGATCACTGATCTCTATTTTCAGTATTATTTATAATTCGCGTTTAATTTATATAATCAAATATATAATATTTATTTAAAATATTTGTACTTCGTTCTATTATATTTATTAAAATGTTTTTACTATTTATACACACGTTTGATTTCAAAGCGTCATCTTCAGACGTATTTATATTTAACTATGCTGTATGAAATTATTTCAGGTAACATTACTGATAAACAATGCGGGCGTGGTATCAGGACAGTATTTGCTGGACACTCCGGACCACCTCATCCAGAGAACCTTCGATGTGAACGTACTAGCTCATTTTTGGGTAAGTTTCTCTACAGAACAACTATAGTTTATTTCAATAGTACATCACAAAAATGTAAACGAATTAATAACACACAAGATAATCTTTTGATGTAGTATAAATCAAATATCGATTAATTGATTAGATGTTAAGGTTTGTTAGTAATTTAATTTAGAAAGTATTTCTGTGATAATTGGATTTTTTTTTGCATAAGTTCTAATGAAAGATTATTGTTATTTCTACTGCTAGAGTAAAAATATCAAAAATCTTTTATTTCATTAAATTTTCATTAATTCAAAATATATTTACAGAATATTAGCGATTTCTATAAATTCAAAACAAAAAAGTTATCTAGAAATAAGTAAATATTTAACAGTTTACTTTGTTTCGGTCATTGTCATTAGTGCTTACTGACCTCTGTGTGAATAGTTGAAAGGTTTTTGTAGTTTTTTTTTATATGTAACCTGTCTACCAATAGACGAGAGTCATTAGTCAATGCGTTTTGTTCGAAATAAATAAGTTAAAACTTAGAATAGGTAAGTAAATAAGAAGATAAGAAGTTTGTATAGATAGGTACTCAAATATTTAAGCTGGTACATCTTTAATACGCAAAACTAAATTGTAATTATCCAAATACATATCAATCATAATCAATTTATTAAATCCATTAGGCATTTTCTTAAAATCTGATTCATTATTGTATTCATTATAATATAATTAATATTTTTAAAATTCTTAATATTTTTTAAATTTTGATGCCTGAAAACAATTTTCTAGTTGGCATTACTGCATCATTAAAAATACACCAACCAACCTAGTAATTTACATCATTTTTATGTGGTAAGCACTAAGTTCTCACTTTTACCATTAAATACCAGTTTGAAGCTGATATCTGTAGTAATTGTTGCTTTATTTTGCTTGTGTAATTTGCACAGTAAATGACTTTGTCCAAAAGAGCAGAAAAGAACAGTTTATGAAATCATTATATTCGTGATTACGTTATTCAAGCTTTCATTTGATATCTTAATATGTGTTAGTGTTAGTTTTAATATATCTTCTGAAACATTTGTACTGATTTTAACAAATTGGTAGGAATCACGAAAAGAAACTGCTCCTTCAAGCGTAAAGATTTTACGTAATACACAAAAGAACATTTAACGAATTTAGAATCTATTCTTTTTGAACACTACAAATCGCAGTCATAAAATAACAACACTTCAAAATAATATTATGAGCTGATCTCATACACTTACAAATTAATTAGCTATAACTTAATCGTAATTTGCATAAAAAATGCCAATATAAAATATGTTTCATCTATGTACCGTTCTATTGAATTAATCTGTCATACCTGTTTGGCTCATTTTAGTGTCGCTGAATTAATAAGATAAAATATTTATTACCGTCATTATTTTATTTAAATTGTATATTCTTAATAACTTGAAACAAATGAACTGGATAGGTGACGGTAGAATGATAATTAGAAAATAAAAAAATATATATTATTTTGGTTTCTATTGCTATTAAAACTCCTTCATTTTTTTTTATCTTGCATGAAAGGATATCTTCCAGTTACAATTTTATTATACTAATTATATAATGATAATACATTGTATTGTTTTATACTCAAATAAATATAATGAATATATAAACGTGCGTTCCTATTCTAATAAATATCTACTGTACAAATTTTAATAGATGTACATATATGCAATTATTACAAATTCATGATAACTTTTTCCAGACGGTGAAAGCGTTCTTGCCGACAATGATTGAGCATAATGACGGACACATAGTAACCATAGCGTCGATGGCCGGCTTTATAGGTGTGTCCAAACTTGTGGACTATTGTTCCTCCAAGGCTGCCGCTTGTGGATTTGACGAGTCATTAAGAATGGAGCTCGTTTCTAAAGGCATTAATGGCGTTCACACCTCCCTAATATGCCCCTTCTTCATCAGGTCGACAGGAATGTTCGAAGAAGTGGTTGCGAGGTGAGAAAATGATTATACTTATTTAATGTAAACAATATTTTAATTCACTAGAAAATAAAATGTCACAAGATGATGATGTTAATTATAAATTATTAGAATAAGTGTGTATAGAAAAGTAATATGACCCATTACTGTAGAGTTGACTAGGTAATCCTGCTATCACCTGCCGTAACGGATAAAATAGACTTATAATTTGTTCATTACAATAGAATATTTTAATGAAACTGATAACTTTAGTGTAGTGTAAAACCTAATTATAGGGAACTGGTATCAGAATTTAGCTATATATTAATTAATTCACTATAGATCAATAATACTTATATATAATAGTACTTGACCTATCTGAGAAATTTGGCTGGCAGCAAATTAAAAAAGTCCCAATATTTTACTTTAGACCAGGTTCAAGACAACTGAGGTACGAGAGAGTACTCTCGTTCTCTGAATATATCCAGTTGCTAACAACGAACGTTGCTAACAGTGAAATGGATATACGATTTCTACATAGGTTTTCTAATTTTTATATCACATATACATAATTTATTACTATGTACTTATGTAGGTATATTACTTGCTAAATAGGACAAATAGGGCACTTTTTATTTCAACACTTTTGCTAATAAAACATTTATTTCTTATCCACAGATTGGTGCCTCAACTTAATTCGAATGACGTAGCTGATCGTGTGATCTTGGCCATCAGAACCAATGAACCCATCGCCCTCATTCCAGGATTCTTCAGAGTTCTACTCCCCTTTAAATGGTAATAACAATTAGTATCATAGTAAAATTAATGTACTCTACAATTATACAGGTTTAAATTCAAATCATTACAATCTGTGTGATAGAGTGTTCTACCAATTATAAAACTGATCATCAAAGAAACATATATTAAAGAACAACATTTTTTAAGCAGTAGAACGTCATAAACGTCACACATTACTATCTACTAAATTTTTTATATGATGTATTGCTTGACCGAGACAAAAGAAGCCTATATCTCTCTCCATCCCAAACACTATACCAAATTTCATGACGATTGGTTGAGCTATTGACACGTCAAGAGATAAGAAACTCACTTTCACATTATAATATTAGTAAGGAAACCACTTATACAACATATAAGTACTGCCACACCTGAGGACTAATCTGTTAAGTCTCTTGCGACAGAGATTGCACTGTCTGTCTTACCTTTCACACCACACTTCACATAGAAGCGCAACACTGCACGCACTGCTGCGTCACGGCTCCCAGCAATGGCTGAACCAAGTATGTTCGTGGCACGATATTCGTGCCTCTTGTATTCGATATCATCCTTCACAACAAATTACCACAATTCTCGTATTATTTCATAATAGTATAGTTCCCTTTCTACCAAAATATATAAAGATGCATAGAAGAAATCAGACAGTTAATACTTATATCAAGCAAGTTAAAGGATCTAATTTGGATGTTTATTTTTTTCAGGCTAGTGCCATGGAAGTGCATATGTGACTTCATTAATGTGATCGTACCTGACGCAGTGCCTCATTCTGTGCAAAATACACCAACAACGGTGCTCCCGACGAAATCCGATCCATTGCACACCAAACGGGACTCGCGACCGATGTCGCTCGTTCCGCCCGAGCGACACGATCGACAAGTTTGACGATTATAAATTTGCCCGTTACGAGTTAGCACACAGGGATAACTTTGTCAACGTGAAATATTTCATCAATCTTTTGAACTTATACTGTCCGTTCACAGATCATCATTGACGATCCGTTATCACTAACGATCCGTAAGACGAAAATGTTATGTGTGAAAGTCACGCATAGTATTTTATTGCAAATCGTGACGATTCGTGTTACGTTGGAACGAAACACAAATTCGTATTCGTAATTTTGGAAGGAGTCGATCGTAATTTTTACGATTCGTAAGGAATAATACTATGGTAGTAGTTTATGAGTTCTGTAAAAATTATTTAGGTTTCGTTGATGCGTGACTGAGAGTAACTGTCACAGTGACAAAATTGCCTGTGGGTTCTAGCTCTACGCCTTGGTTGTTACAATAATAATTTAATAGGTAGTTATATAGTGTACTATAAACTATACCACTATTCTTATGGTTATATACCCAAACGAATAAGTATAACCATGAATGACTTAAAGGTATATTTTCGTCGAATGGGAACTCTATAGGAGATAAAGTAGGTATTTTAATGGTTATGGTTAGTGGTTTGTAATAAGTACAACAAATACAATGTTGGGGTTCAGGCTATTATCATAATACCTACTTTAATGGTTTATTACACTACTATGGGATCATGTTCAGATCAGTCTGTTAATTTATTAAGATACTGATGTAATTATGTTGGTATGTTATAAAATGTCTCGTTTACGAATAATCTAGTGAGATCACTTTTAGTTTTAATCTTGTGTTTGTACCGCTAGGATATATGATCCTATATGTATGACAGTGTAATAAACCTTTATTTCTAATGATTAAGCGGTATATTTTAATATTAAACAATGTTTGTCACAAACTCTGTGTCCATCTTGCCCAGATGTAATATCTGTTTGGCCCAGATGGTAAATCGACTTTATAGTATGAGTGACTGATTTTGGTGTAAATAATTCCTAAATCAATCACTGACACTCATTAATTGCTTTTTCATTAATAATATTTCTCTTTTCATTAATTAAATATTGCGAAATTTCTTAAGACTGGTGTTAGGTTAAGTTCGGGATAATGAATAATTCTATAATGCTCGTAACAAATTTTACGTTTCATTCATGTCATGAGATTTTTTTTTATTGAATTCTTCTACATAATGTACAATATATACAATATTCTTTATAGAATATAAGAGTCTTAAAGTTTTACTACTTTGTTGTAATGTACCTTGAGTTTGATCTTTAGTACCAATAATAATATTTATAAATTGACTTAGGCATTCATATGTCTAAGGCTGTTTATCTTGCTTTATTCTGTTACTTTATATTTTCATTGTTTGTTTACCAAATAAAGAAAAATATGGCATACACAACGCCATCTAGTCCCAAACTAAGTAAAGCTTGCCCTACGAGTACTAGACCACTGCTAGACATATACTTAAATATTTCTTATACCATAAAATTTATGTAAAAGTACGTGACATAAAACTTAAGAAAGTTTTACAACACTGTATTATACTGCGATCTATTATAGTGTTAAAATATAACATCGAATATTTCTAGTAACTGTCAAATAAATAATAATCAATGACTATTTCATGAAAGAAAATCTGTAGTCCACTAACTGCTCTGTTGAGTTTACGAAAACAAATTTTAAGTTTAAAATACAAACAATCTACGATTATTGCAGTTTTAAAAGTTGATACTTATACCTAGGTATATTGCATTCTTTTCCCTATTGCCACAAGCTGCTCACTAGGCCTTAATCTTGGAATCTCTTCATAATAGAGAATTAGAGAAGAAAGTGTGTCTATGAGCCACGGGTCACTTTATCGTTTTTTTATATCATTGTAAACTTGATATAAGGTACAGATATTCAATGGAATATTTTAAATTCTAAATACGTATAACTTATAAGTCAGATCAAAAACTATTCAAATAATATCTATTATTCTCAGTCATACTGTATTATAATTCATTTCAAAGTTTCGTACTAGATTGAAGCTCATATTTAAACCTGTTGCTCAGGTAATTGCGACGGTAAAGCCGATATAAATAATTATATTAATGTTCCATTGAATAAACAAATTATTGTTTAAAATATTTCTAATTCAAACTATAATTTGATAGGTGCCTACCATATTATTGCTGTACTAGTATTGTAAATAATATTTGAATTTTTTTTTTATAAAAATTTGAATATTGTTTGTACCTTATCTAATATTGTGATAAGAATTGTATAAATATTAATTAGTGTTAATATATAAATATAGTTAGGTTCAATAATAATCATCAAATAATGTGTTTTCTAATCTTTATGGCAATGGTTTTGTATTATGGCAATAATTATTACAATATCATAGAATATAGATAGTACAAAATATAGTACATTGAACTATCAATACCAAAATCAAATCAAAGCTTAAACGTCTGTATATTTCTAAATCTTGTTTGGATGCACAATAATTTACTACCTCGATTTGCATCATAGGTCATAAGTTCAATCCTGACATACATCAAAATTTTTTATTTATTCCCTATACTTTTATTCAGCGTGTTGCAGCATGGTGCAGGTAAATGTTACTATAAATGAAAAGAACTTTTATTAATGAGATTTTTGGAATTCATTATACATTTTTACTGTCAAATATTTTTTTTTAATCAGCGCATGTCAATCAATTTTACGGTTAAGTATTTTTTTTCTAAGCTTTTAGCAACTTATCACTGTATAACTCTATAGCTATAACAGTTAAAGTATGAAGGTAACTCAAGAGTACATACTCGTATATCTTATAGATCCAAGAGACGGCGCCACTCTCCTTGAACTAGATTTGATTATTTCTTCAAAATATCAAACTTGCCACATTTAACTGAAAAAATTGTTTTATGAGTATTGCCATTATGTTAAAAATAAAATAAGTGTATCAAAATACTTTTGATGCATATTATTTTAGTATTGTTATATTATTAGGTATTCTATGGTATGGTATAAAATGGAAATATGATGCCTTATATACAGTAGTTATTACATTTGTCGGATTTAAAACAATTTGACCAAATGAACTTACATATTAAATAAATTGCTGGAGTAGGTATGATAGGTATATTTTTGCTAATATCACGTCAAACTTAATAATTTTCTTTTAGGTTTGTGAATATTAAAAACTTATTGTTAAAAATTTTATATAACATTTTGTGTTACGTTTTGAAAGTTACCTTTTATAGAAATATTGTTATATATTGAAAGAATAATGTAAATATTTATATTATTTTCAGATTATTGTTTAATATTTAAATAAAAACCACACTGTTGAGTTTGAACATAACTAGACAAAAAAATGTAGTAACTCAAAAAATTTGATGTTTTCAATAAATTTGTACAGTTTGATAAAGCATTTATATAATAAATTGAGGAATTTATATATGCAATAAAACAAAGCAATATTTATAAATGTGTTTTATTCAATGTAAACCATTGTACACAATTTTCATTTATTCACAAACAATTACAAAGAGGTTAAACAAAAAACTTAACATTAAGAACACAGTCAATGGTAAAAGATATTAATTAATTTGTAATACGAAATATGTTCATAAATTATGCAAAAATGCAAAAGACTAGGAAATAACATTAGGAATAATATTTCACTTAAATTAACATTTTAAAACTCGTATTAGAGTTACTTTATGTATTTACCAGGTAACCATATTTATTAAACGTAATTTTTAAGAGGCCTTAAAATAAGAACGAAGTTCTAAATTGCCCGGAATTTTTTCGTATGTATATTATACGATGTTTTAATCAATTCCGATCTGAATTTAATACATTAATTTCTAATACACAGGAACTACTCCCGTCATGGCCCCTTACTAATTTTGTAATGATTAATGATATTTATTTGCAGAGCATACTTTAAATAATTATTGTTCATAATAAGGTGCGCTTAATATGGAAATTATTAATGGCTATAAAAAAACATAAATCGGGCAACAATAATAAACACTATTATAATTTACATTAAGGTCTAACAAAATTACAGTAAAATCCATTACAAGATCCCCTATTATTTACACCTCACCGTTGCGATAAACGAATATAGATGAATATTTTATTAACTATCTATTGCTTTTATTTTTATTACGAGCGCCACCTATCTATTTCTTTACGAGTATCTCCATATATTTTACCAAAGATTAATAGGACGTTAAAATCGTCTTTTTTTATGTAATAAATTTCTTCTATTATAAAGAAAAAAAGGTATGTCACTGTGCACTGTGAGATTAAAATATAATTATTGTAAGATTACATTAAAATGTAATAATGTAGAATGTACATAAACATATATGTGTGTATGAGAAAAAAGGAAATACATACTTATAGGGAAAAACATAGATAGGAAGCGACCAACTTGCGCGAACAGAAAAATAGTATAAAGACAGAGTAGCATAAATGGAAAATCGAAGATGGAGATTGTTAATACTCTACAAAGTATTAGTTAAAATTAACTATGAAATAAGTATAAAGTCCTTCAGGTTGACTGGAAGAGAATACTAATGACGTTAACCCCGCCTTGTATACATTTATACAGATATTAAAAACCAAATAAATAATCAGGGATAAAAAGAATCGTACTTATTATATATAGAAAAAACCTAGACTAATACATATAGCCTTAGTACAGTAAACATTTTTTCAATGTGTGGGAATCGAACTCTCAACTATTGTAAGATATAAGTGCGTTGTGTTAAACCGCTATACCACGAAGGTTATTAAATGTAATATGTAACATGTTTATTCAAAATGATCTCTAGGATATTCTTCAGGTAACGTGAACTGTGAAATCGGCGATTTATAAATAGGATTTAATTGGTTCTCTTTAAATTTGCTCGCTTCCACTTCCTTCACGAACTTCGCGTACGCCCGTTTGTCCGACACTATTTGTCCACATTTGTATACCAGGATCATTATAATGCCGATTACGACTACGCACGTCATGACCGCCAAGCCGACGTTCATGAACCTCGCTGTGTTTACTATGCCGCATTGCACGTTGTAAATGACGATTGATATTGATGACGATTCATTATTACTCTTAGTGTAAACGTACCTGTAGTCGCATCCGTCATTGCGTAGCACGCAATGGATGGCATCGCTGTTTTGGAATTCTGAAAAAAATTAAGTATAACATAATATAACATAAATAAATTAAGCATAACCTTACTAACTATATTCCGTGACTCTGCCCGCGTGAATTAGTTCATAAAGTATTTTATGTGCTAAATTAGGATATAACCTACCTGTGTGGGGGGAAGAAGGGATTGTTAGTAATCCCTTCTTTCCCCCACACGGTAATCCCATTGCTACCAATATTGCTAACAATGGGATTCATTGCTAGCAAAATATCCTATCAGGTCAACCTCCACGCGATTCCCCCTGGAAACCATCCTGACTGATTTATTGTTGAATTTGTCACGATGGGCCAACTGACCTGCTTCATCCTCATCTATCATCCCTCACGCGTGGCACCAACGCCAGTATATACCGATAGCGCAGGCGAAGTTACTATTCCATTATCATTCATTAAAAAAAAAACCTTCCCGTGTATCGATTTTCATTCTAATCTGTTAAGTAATTTCTTCGTAAACCAAACATTCACCCATCCCCCTATCTTATCCATCTATCCATTTAATATTAATAGGATTAAATGTTTATGGGCGAAAATTATCATAATATGTCTAGCAATATGTAATATAAGAGTGTGAATTTTACTAGAATAAATAAATTAATTAATAGAGTTTTACGAAGTAGAATAGTAAAAATAGTAAAATACTAATAGTAAAATAATAACTTTCCAGAGGGAGACTTTGTACAAAACTCGCCTGTATGGGTACTTCTATCCCACTCGTGTTTCTGCCATGAAACAGCTGTGTGGGATATGGCAATCAAATTACCGATTACGAATTCATAATACTGCAGTCCTCAAACCTGTACCCCCATGCATGCAAACGCACGAGAAGTATCAGCAGGCCACCATAAGGTAGTCTAATAGCATATATGAACTAAGACTTATGAATAGCAGGCGAGTCACTATCTACTTGTTTAAGTACTAAACTGAGATACGTGAAGTGATTTCAAGTTGAAATTTCTTTTTTTAGACAAATTATAATTGTTAGCCGCAAAACCACAATATTCCTAGTGAGATCATATCATTTGTCCAAGTACGCTTTCAAGTAACCGCAAGAGAGCTTAAGCATTATAATTAACCTACATTTGTAAAAAGTCATTTTCTGTCATTAATGTTAATACTCGTAATAAAATTATTCCTGCATCCAAGAACGTCGGAATTATTCAAATTTCTTATTTTAAGACCGTGTAAGGTTTATATAAGCTATTACTTTTGTTATGTAAATCATAAATTAATATCACTCAGATAGGGCACTTCTGAAACTTGCAAAAACGTGCTATTTTAATGTATTCATAATGAACCCTTGAAATTAGATGACACCGACATGTTAAAATTACGCTTCGCAGTGCAGCCTGTTTCCAAAATAAAAAAGGATTTTTTTTTATTAAGTACGACATGTGAGCACCATTCTAAGTAAACACAATATTTTATTGTTTTTTTTTTTTATAACACAAGAGGTAAACGAGCATGCGACTCACCTAATAGTAAATGACTACCCCTGCCCATGATCACCCACAACACCAAAGGCATTGCAGGTGAGCTGCTGGCCTTTTAAAAAGGAATATGCTCTATGATATATTCTATGAATACTATTAACCAAAAAAATGTTCTACTCTCAACGGTTAGTTACACTATGTACGCCGGAAGTACTTTTTCACGATAATTTTTTAATTTTTTTTCAAGGAACCGGAATTTTTTATTAAGAAGTAGTTCATTACCTGTTTCGTTATAGTTGTCCATATCATCGATTCTAACAATGTCACAAGTAGCTATGCAAGAGCTGTTGAGGTAGCAAGACAAACAGGGCTCTGCGTGTGCGCACAGTGGATTGGGACACGACGGACACGATTCGCAGTATGCACCTTTGTATAGTGATATGTATCCATCTTGAGTCCAACATTCACACTGACCTTGAATAGAATTACAATACCATTTATTATATTGTATATACATTACACTACAAATACACTATTTAATAAAAAAAAAAAAAAACAAAAGTAAGCTGCTTAAAATCTTTGTGTACTGACCACATACGCAATCGCCGCGTCCAGAACAGATTTGGTCGCTGCCTTTAGCGATGCAAGTCTCATTGCTTTGAGTGCAGTCGCACGCGACTCCACTCCATCCTTCTTCGCATTTACATTTGCCGCACATACATGTGCCACGATCTAAACCACCGCATTCTAACCCATTTTCACTGAAAGAAAATTCATATACTATATCATACAGAAGTTACTGAATTGAGTTAAATGGCACATTTGTAAATATTTTTTTTTACTGACTAAAAACTGAAACCAGCTGGTGAAATATTATTTAATTAAATTTTATGTATTTATTTTACACATAAATATTCAATCGCGTTTTACTGCTACCGTAGATGAGTATTTTATTTATTACAAAAGGCGCGTTCGAATCTTGTACTATCAAGCAATCGGAATATCTATTTTATTCGGAACGGCTGTGACAGTTTAACGAATAAAACGGGCATTTATCTCATCGATCATTATCCAGCGACTTCAAAAACTAGAAAGTTCCCATTTTTACCTTCGCACAGTTTGTATCGTTCTTAATGATTCATTTAATTGAAAGCATTTATTTTCGTGTTGGTTCCACACAAATATTATAAAATTGAAATCTGTTGTTTGTTGTAGATAATCAATTATTTATAGATAAATTAATAAAGATATTCGTACTTATCAATTTCACAGGTTTTACATTGGCAATATCGGCCATTGAATCCACGGTCGCAGTCGCACTTGCCGCAAAAGCAATCTCCAGCTCCTGAACAGACGCCAGAGGTGTAGTTCTCACGACATTGCGCTAGTAGGTCTAGTGACGGGGAAAAATCCTTAATGTTGCAATTGCATTGAGGGCCCATCCTGCGAAAGAAATATAATAGCAAATGCTTATAGCGTCATGCTACTAATTCGATTTTCTAATGGGTAGTATCGTAACAATCATCAAATGGTTAAAAGATTACAAGTGTAGTGATACAGTGGGTCTCAGCTCATTTTCATCCCTATTATATCGTTAGAGACAAATAAGGGAACAAAACATAACACGTTTAATGCACGAGAAGAAAACATAAATGAAAATCCCGATCAGCGCGGTAATAGTACACTAACTTATACCTATACAAGGTAATAAAAGAAAATTATATTTTTATAGAGAGAGACTCGGCAGTGTAATTTTATGCTGGTCATCAATTTAAACACTTTAAGTGTTGGATTCAAATGTAATTGTCACTGATGGTAGAGTTTTGTATGACTCTCCTTATTAACTACCGCTATTGTAGAGTACCATTAATATTCTGCCGCAATACGATGTGTATGTTGTTATATTTTTACCTGAAGAGTAAATCAGTCAATATTATTTTTGATACTCTTTGACAGTGAATCTAAAGTTTCTGAGCTTTCTACTACAAACTTTACTGGATTCCTTTAAGCGATACATACGTACTTTCCTTTTGATCTGACCGAGGCTAGTGTCAATAAGCCGAATACAAACAAATTTGATTGGACACAATAATCATCTTCATCATTTTAGCCGTTAATTGTCTACAACTAAATATTAACCATTAAGTTCCCTTAATCACCTCTTACGACATCTACAGGAAAGAATAGGGTGGCCCATTTTATGCCCGGACCACATTGCAATGGGCCCAATTATGTGGTTACCAATATACCAAGTGATGCAAAAATGAGTATGAATATATGTATATAGTTCATATTTAAATTCTAATTTTTAATTTTAGAGCAGGTTCCTTGGTACGCTTCTGTTTAACAATGGATGAAGGCTATATGGATGAATGGATGAACAGCTCACAATTGACATAGACCGGTAAACTGTATGTAGTTTGTATTTAATTAAAACAGGCATCCTTTCATCAATACTATGTTTACTTACCACCCTTGGTCGCACTGGCAAACTCCACAAACCCGTCGAGAATTTATAGGGCATGTGTTTGACATACCTTCCAAGCGATCGGACTCGCAGTCACAACCACACTGGATTTCTACATCCACAGACAAAGAGTCTTGGCCCAACTGACTTTCAGAGATATATATTGTTTGGTTTACCTGAAAAATATAATAATTATTTTAAATTAAAAAAAAGACGATGTTTTGACGGCCTCGGTGAGCCGTTGCCCAAAGTGCGAGGCGAGACGCTACGACGTAAGCACTGTACTCACCCTGAAGAAGACTTCTGAATGAAGCCGAAATAATTGTTGGAAACGACATTAATAGAAAGTTAATAAAATTCCCGTTACAAATATAGATATATAGACAACAATTATCATGTTTAAACATACATAATATGAAAGTTTGTGAATATGTTTCTTTTGTTACCAAGTATATATGGGGTAAAATTTGGCACATAGACAATAGACAAAATTTGTACAGAATGATCTACATAAGTGCTTTTTTCTCGTTTACTTATGCTATTAATATCTATGAACAACCGACGGTTACCATTTTCCATCATACAGTGATTCTCGTGAATAATACTAATTTATGGTATTCATTGTGCCGGTTGTACATCCATATAACAAATTAATGCGGTGGTGATTACATCACGCCGTACGTTGCTACTCAGCTATAGCTCTTGATTGCACTGACGTCTTTACTATTGAAAACTAAAATGGAGGGAATAAAAAATTTAATCTTTGAAGCATTTGGCATTCCATTGTTTCTACCTGCCCTAATGGGAAACAGGCATGACAGATATGTATATATGTATGTAAAAAAATGAATAATTAACCTTGTGATTTAATAGTACCTACCGTTTTAAACTCTGAACACGATTTCAGAGAGAAAACAGCTTCATAATTGAGGGTCATGCCGTAACTGACATCTTCGCATCGAGTGGCTTCTTTAAATTGCGCACCCGGCACTCCGCAATCAGTAAAGTATTTAATAGTTACAGGTCCTATATTTGAATTATCTTTGAAGTCAACAACACTGACGATCTCTTCATATCCCATTTTGACTAGCTTCAAAATATTAGAACTGTCGCTCTCCAAGGTCGCGACGTGAGTAAAACCTTTGAGTAGTTCGTGTAATTTATCATAATGTCTCTTTACATCATTAGTGACAGCAAATATTACATTCACCTAAAAATATAGATACTTTTTGTCCTTGTATGTGTATAATTCTTATTGAATCGAATAAATTAAATCATCTGTGTAAATGCTACTTTGCCTTGAGCACAGAAATGTTATTTGCAAGAAAATGTCAATATCTTTTGCACAATTACTTATATGGTGCGTCGTGACTTCATACATCAAATACATTTAAAGATTCCAAGTACATTAATCACACTTACATTAAACATTACATTATTATAGTATAGTATAGCATAATGTAAAGTTATATACAAAATATTAATTAGGATAGTTACTCCTATGCTATGAATGATATTAAAAGCACGGCCCTTGTTATGATCGTACTATTTGATAGTGTAATATATTTCTAATATATATATCTTTATTATATAATAATATTACATTTTAATTACCTTATAATTTTTTAAAAGTCTATAAATTTGTGCTACGGATGGATAGTCGTAGGTGAGAGACTCCGAATAGTATCCGTTTTCATCTAAATGGCACTGTTCATCATTTCTTAATACTGTTCCACCTGGAATTTAATACAAACGTTTTAATTATAAATAATCGATACTTATTTTTTTAAATCAAGTCAAATAAATCATCAAGAACTGTATTTTAGTTTGACGCGTGAAAAATGGCGGTAAATAAAAATGTATGGAAATACAACGCCTTAGTCTTCAGTAATAGCAATGTATAAAATAACGTGAGTGCAAAAAATCATAATGATTGTTGTCATGCTCTATCTATCTATCTATCTATGGGTGACAATTACCATCTGCGTTTCAATTTGTATAAAGAAATAGGAAATTATGGGGAAAGAAATATTGCCAAGCTCATAACGTTATATAAGCAATTTTGTAATTATAATTTGCTAAATATGTAAAGGAAACGTCCTGTGGTCCTGGCATAGAATGGGCTACCCCTTCCTTTCCCGTGATGTTCAGCAGTGGACAATTGGTAACTGATATGAAAAAGAAGATAGAGAATTTACTATTTAATACTTAGTTAATCAACCTTATAGCATCCTATCTATAAAAAACCTTCGATTAATATTAGATGAACAGATATTTACCAATCTTTCCATCACCAGCAGTATGCATCAGACCATCAGACAGCAAAATAACAATTTTACGACTATGCGTCGCCCAGCCCATGATTTCTGAGCAAGTGATGACTTGTACTAATGCTTCTAACTGAGCTTCAGCATTGTCTACATTCGCAGTCACTGAACTGCTATTCAATTTCTCAATAAATTCCTTTCCCTGTAAGGATATTTCAAAAATTTTGTTATATCATCCATAATACATTATAATAAGTAACATATGTCATCGTCTAATTTAATAAATTTATTAGTAATTTAATTAATATATTTATTAATATTGTTTCTAGTTTGTTGAAATTTGTATTTTTAAGAATATGTGTGCCGAATATTTGTTGTATTTTCACAATTTATAAATCTACGAGGCTAGTATACTCATAAAGTAGCAGTTTAGGTGTAATTCTAACTGATAAGCTGAACGTTTGCTACAACCTCTTTTTTTTAAATGGATGATAATGGAATGGTAACCCCAACCGCGCTATCGGTATACACTGGCGGGGCACCAGTGAAGGATGATAGGTGAGGATGAAGTAGGTCTGTTAGCTTATCGTGACGAATTCATGAAGAATTGTTCACGATGGTTTCCAGGGGGAACCACGTGGAGGTCGACCTAATAAGGTATATTGCTAGCAATGGGGCTGTCAAACTTCATTGCTAACAATCCTTCCGCCCCCCCCCCCCTCCACAACCTATTAGGCACTTTCATTATTCATGACAATACTTTCAATATTTTTTTTTAATTTTTAGAATTTTCACACAAAGTGTAAAATACTGTTTGGGAAAGTTATTCAGTTTCATTGATACGAATAATATTATGTTTCCATTTTATTCTTAACATTATAATCGACCGTTTCATCTTATCACATTTGTCTTCACATGACAATTTTTATAAAACCTAATTTGCATTGAGTTAACAATGTGACGTTCTTATCTCTATTTGTATTTGTTTCGTTTATCAAACCTGTGATCTTGTGTCAGTGTGTGTTGGATGGCACAAATTACTTATATTCCCACACATAAGAGGCTATTAATATCCCTTTTGTTGCTTTTAAGGGACATTTGTGATGATGATAGACATATAAATCTCTTGTAATATAATGTTCAAAATGTAACAAAATAATGAGAACAAAAAAATTTATGTTTCGGTAGTTCAATCATGACGAAACTAAAATAGTTGATAGTATAAGTAAATAAGATGTAATATATCTAAGTATAAAACAAAAGAAATATACAAGTAACTGAGTATAATAATCAAAATTTCTATCTCACATATCTAATGCCAGGCAGGTTGCTTGTATGCTGTGTTTCGGTTTGAAAGGTGAGATATGGGAGTAAAATTATTAGATAATTTGACTCAAAATCCCCTCGTACAAGAATGTAAAATTAAAAAGTACAGTAAAAGTAAAGTATCGTTAAAAAAACATCGTTTTTTTTATGTTCACTGAAGACCCTTATAAAAAAAATATATAACATTAGGTGGAAGGTATACCTCATTGCTGACTACTATATTTGAAGAATAAAAACACACCTAAATATCAAACAAGACATGGGTAAGTGGCTTTAAAAATCTGATTTACCTCTGTGGTGAGAGATAAATGGTGCTTAAAACTATATGTCGCCTCGCAGCTCTCATCTGCGACCGTACAGGGATTTTCTTTTCTATTTTTATCCATATACGTGTATGGCATTGCAGGTTTGTCTGCGAAGCTGCCGTATCCTATTCTGGAAAGCAATAATAATCATTTTACTATACGATCACTCACCGAACATTCGTATTTTATAATTTAAATTTATGAAATCAGAGTTCACGTTTATTAAAGCAAGTCAATACGCTCGGTACATATGAATATATATATATACAAAAATGTTTCTTTTTTTTTAATATCTTAGCAACAAGAATGAAGTCGAATTCTTTAAGGAAAGTGTTCGAGCAAGGAAACAGCACATTTTTTACCCCCATAAAACCCATAAGTTGAATGATGATACAAACAGTTGAACCGTGTTAATAAGGATGGCTCAAAATTTTTTATCATTTATCAATTTATCTATGCATTTTTGATAAAAATTTACTATTTTGTTGTAGTAGTAGGTTTACCTGCTTAAAAAGAATGTTAATCATTTTGATTTTACGGTAATGAATAAGAAAGGTATAGAAATAAATCAAATTTAATAAGAAACTAACCTGTAATTATCTGTTAAATTTTTTATCATTGCTAATAAGTCGTCTCCCAAAGACACTAAAGTCATCTTATCATCTTTCATGGACCATGTCAAATCCATCAAGTAATATAAATCTAACGGATAGTTTTTGGCTGGTCTATATGAAAATTTAATTTTTTTGGATTCTCCTGCAAAAGTAATATCATATGTTAACTAATATAATTATCTATTATAATCTATATATTACTCATTATTTCTTTTATTTTTATTTTTTTATACAACTTAGAATGGCAAACAAGCTGATGGCCCACCTGATGGAAAGTGGTAACCGTCGCCTATAGGCATGAGCAGTACCATGGACATAACAGAGTATACTGTTTCACCCATGATACCCCTCCATGCGTTGCCATTCCTGAGGACTCAGATGTAATTCCTCCGTACCTAGTAAATTCACGCCATATCCCACCCTTCAAACCGAAACACAGCCATGCAAACACAACTGCTTCACGGTAGAAACACGAAGGGGACAGAGGTACCCAAGTACTTTTGTACAAAGTCAGGGAGACTGTTAAATTAATGTTATGGAATGAAAACAACATCTTCATCATATCAGCCTTTAACTGGCCACTGCTGAACATAAACCTCCCCCTTGTGGGATTTTGCCAATAGTTGCCACGTTTGGCAGGCGGATTAGCAACCGCAGTTATGCTTTAGGTATGTTTTAAGAAAGATGCTGCTGTCCACACTGTCGAGACCACACGACCAATAAAAACATGTCTGTGTAAAATTAAAACGACGATATTCACAGTAGTATGTTTTTTGTCACATGTAGATTCATTATTAATTAAATATCTAAGATCCTTTGTAAAAATTATGTACCTAAGTACCATCTGCGGTCATAAATAAGTATTTTCAATAAGCCATCGTACATGGCTTACAATGTGGCTTACTAATACTAAGTTAAGTGTATCCTGTTTCCGGTTACCATTGTTAGTAACCTATTGGTATATCAGGCGGAGGTTTTCGGAGCAGCAGATTTAATATTCTGACAATGCGGTTGGCCCAGTGTAACTAAACTAAGTAACTGTAACTTGGGTTCTATATATATTATACATATTAATAATATATCAAAACATATTGAATTTCTTAAAAAAAAATGGGGTATTATATAATTGCTAATTTGATTCTGTTTGTTCTTAATCGAGGATATTATTCGTATATTAATCAAACAGCATACAATTTTAAACTAGCTTTATCCCGCGGCTTCGACCGTGTGTATTATAACATAAAATATCCTATGCGCTAAGTTACAATATAGCATATAGCCTACCCGTATACCAATTTTCATTCAAATTCTTTCAGTATATTTTGCTTGAAAGAGTAACAACAATCTATTGTTACAAACTTTAGTATTTATTACATTAATAAACTATTTACCTGAGCAAATACTATTTTTATGTTTTTTTTAGCAACAGTTGATTAATTTTTTTGATTACAATCGTGAACATATTAATTTATTATTGGTGTATCCCGCAGATTTGCTCGCGTGAATCATTATACAGTATTCTGTGTAGCCGTGTGCTTCCGGCATAGAATAGGCCACCCCTTTCTTTCCCGTGGGTGTCGTAAGAAACGACTAAGGGAGGGTGAGGGTAGAGCAGCAGCGTCCCTCTTAAAATATCTCTAAAGCCTAACTGCGGTCGCCAACCCGCCTGCCAAGTATGGCAACTACAAAACACCCCCAAGGGGGGGGGGGCTTGTATTCAGCAGTAGACAGTGAAAGGCTAATATGATGATGATTCTGTGTTAAGTTGCAAAATTACTTAACTGTCTACCAAATGTCAATCAAATACATTTAATCATTTAAGCTGATCGAGTGATAAACATCTAAATATATTTACAAACTTTTACAATATAATATTAGTAGATTTTTTATGTTCTATTGTGTATTAATTGATCCATTAATTTCATCGCAATGAAACGAACACATTTTTCTTAAATATTTCCCATCCACAGACATCATCTAATTACAATTTTGTTATATTAGTAAGCTAATACTTACGAGGCTTTAGTGAGATTCGAATCTTCTGCGGTTGTATCTGCACTACATTTTCTTGATCTTCCGAATGAACATCCTGCAGAGTACGGTTCTCTATCACCTCCCATATTGCAGGTCTTTGTCGCTGGATCATACCCTGACTACACCCAGCCTGTACCAAACTGTAAATGATCAATTTAATTAATTAACAATAGACCGTCAGAAATATCAATTTCTACTACTTATACTTACTTATTACGATTATTACGATTATTATAAATATAAAAGTGAGTTTGTATGCTTGTTATCTCTTGGCGCATTTGATTTAACAAATGACTTTAAAATTTGATATATATGTATTATATGGAATGAAAAAGGAAATGGGCTACTTTTTATACCGGTAATTGAACATATACTGGTCCCTGAACGAACTCTAAAGTTTTTACCTGCGAGTTCGTCCTTTATTATATAATGAATATGTTACAATTATCAAAAGCTAATTGAAACATAGATATATATTATATCTGTGCTTTCAATTTAGCCTATGCAATATAACGGGATCAGTACTATTTAGTCTATGTCAGCCATCTGCAATCCAAATGTATTTTCTAAATTTCTCTACTATTATTTGAGCAGTTAAGGCGCTAAGAAGTAACAAACTCATTATACACCTTCAAATAGTATAGTATTATATTAATTGAGACATTAGTATGGATAAGAATGTACAGGTGTAGGCCTACACCACGCAACTAATAATAAGTAGATCAAATAAAATTGTTCTCACGACTATAAACTTATGTGGACTAGCCAGAAACATTTTAATGACTTTTTTACCTATGCCCAATATCAAAAAGGCTTTGTATATATTTAGCATGGCGTATTGGAATTCAACACAGCATTAAAGAAGCCTACTGTCGCCTCTCAGAATAACTATAAGAGATGTTAATAGCATTTTTGGGAACTAACTGCCTATCTATTTACAATTGTAAACATATATGTAAGTAAAACTATTAGATTTATGTATGGATATTGTATTTATTATTCGGGATATTGATCTGCTAACTGTTTTCATACAAATCACTTATCGATTAAATATAAGTATTTTCTTATAAGTATTTTCCTATTTAAAGTCGCAAGACTTAACTCCATGCAAAAATTTTAAAACGTTATTAAAATTTCTTTTGTAAATCTCAGATGTTACTTCCCTATGATAAACCACTGTCACGCGTAGATACAGCAATTTTTTAATAGTAGTACTACATATTTAATAACAAAAAAATTATACACATAATCCCTGGAATCAGAAAAATTCTAACAGCAAAGGAAACCGTAGGTAATGTTACAACGATATTCCAACAAATAACTTTTAGAACACCCACTGAGCAGCATTGAGACGTATTCGCATAACAATTACAAAATACATTACAGTTATATAAACCAAAATAAAACTATTATTTTGTTCTGAGTGCCCGTATAATTCGATCTTTTGTACGCATCCGTCCGACGGTAACTAAACTCAAAGAAAGTTTGCTATAAAGGCTTATGTTGGATGACGAAATTACCCAACTCAGCGTGTTGGATATATTGAAAGGCAGTCATCCCAGCGGGCGTGTAACCTTCACAATCAATAATCAATCACATGGCGATCTCTTGATTAGTGGGTAGGTTGTACTCCGGCACTGCGGTGCCGGCGCGGCGTTCCGACGTGGGAACGTGGTATGCATCCATATATATACCAAGAGAATGCCATGGCTCGTGCTTGATTCTAATCGCTTCAATTCGAATATTTTAGTTCAGTGTCAATTTGTATTTAAGTTCACTCAGATACTAATATTAAAACATTATTTTTGTAAAATATTAGATATTACATTATACAGAGCACATGCAGAGTGTTCTGTAGTAGAAAGCATTATATATATATACATATTCGTCACACCTGTCTCCCATAAGAATAGGCAGAAACCTTAGATTATAAAGTACGTTATTACAAGTCAATGACAGAAACAATGGAACGGCAAATGCTCCGAATTAAACAGTCTAGAAAACTTTCGCTTTCTCTACTTCATCAATCTATTCATACACGCTTGCCAGTTACGGGCACTCTTAATTTGACCATTCTTTAGAACGTCACCTATTTGGTCGACATACGTCCATCTAGGGTGGTCTCTACCGACGTCTCCAACCAACACTACCAACGTAACATTTCCTTTTTGATCTTTGTTAGTATGCCGTCCACACTTCTTAATTATATAAAAAATATTATTAAAGAATAGTAATGATTGTGCCATGCTAAACTTATTATGGGAAAATATTAATAAACTAGCAATAATCTGCCGCTGTGCCCAAAAAAAAAAAATTGTGGCATTCGTATCCCTAGATAAGGAAGTAATTTACAATAAAATTTAAAAGAATATACATTCACAACTATAATCTCTAAGAGCTTTGTTTTTAGATATAGAATTGGCGCTACATATTTGAAGGAAATAAATATGTATTAGGAATCATCTTCAGACAAGTACAATAAAAAAACTAACAACTAAGAAGTATTAGTATACCATAGCATTTGTAACATAAGTCAGTAGTTAGTATACAACGACAAAATGCAAATAATTTTATCAGTTTATTAATAATGGAATCAGTAATGAAATTGATATTGAAAATCGTTTCATTAAAATGTAACTATACTTATAACCAGCTATTCTTATTTTAAGACTTCGTAAAATATTTATAGAAGCATCCATTACATAGTACATAAGTACTAAAGTACAGTACATAATTGTCGCAACAGACATTCTCGAATTATTTATATACACACTTTTTGTCGACTTACCTTTCATCGTCATTACATCGTGGTTCCCCGTTCCGGAAATAAGGATCGGCGCACCAGCGGCAGTGTGGACCAGAAACAAGACATGCTCCGCATTCCTCTTTCTCTATGCATGATAACTCGTTCTGCAATTGTTGCTGACCTATCGAAAATATACATTAAATTACATTTAAATTAGGTAATATTGTATTTACAATACAACAGTTTGCAGTTGTTCAGAATTTTTTGTAACCGATTTCACCTTATGCAATTGTTTTAGGTGCAATCCTAAATATATAATACAATAAAGTATATTAGTAAACAATTTTACTTATTTAAAATTTATTATTAATATTTATTGCTTTTTATTTTAATTAATTTTTGTTTAAAATAAATTAAAATTATTTCCTTTAACTTTGTAAACAAAATGAAATGATCAATTATACTGTTATTTTTTGTTAGTAACATCTAACACCCATAAGTAACATCCAATTTAATGTTCCGCTGGGCAGAATGCTTCCATGAAAGAACTCCACTCATGATTACAATGATGGGTATCTTTCCTAATTGCCATGATTAAATGTCGATTATAGTGTAGAGTATGGTTTGAGGGTGATAAAGGGTGTTTGGTGAACACTCATATGTGACTTGTGATCACAAGCGTGAACTTTCAAGAGTAACACAAATTTATAACATTCATTGTTTTCTTGATCATACGTTCAAATTCTGACCCTGAGATTGAATTTCGAAATAATCATTATCTACAGTTTAACTTGTCTAATCATTTTACCTACAACTAAACCGATACTACATCTTGATAAAAATACAAATATTGAGTATCTATCTATATGTGGGTCATAAAATATACATTTAATACTAGCAGTAGCCTGCAGCTTCGTTCACGTGATTTAGTACATACAATATCCTATGTGCTAAGTTATAAACTTATTAGTGTACCAAATTTCATTAAAATCTGTCCAGTAGTTTATGTGTCAAAAAATAAACATCTATTCTCACAAATTTTCATATTCAGAATAATAATAAGATGTAGTTGCCATATATAATAAACATAGTAATTTATTTTTATTTAGAGTATAATCTGATATAAATACATATACATTTACCAGAGATATACATTTACTTTGTACAAAAGTCGATTGCTTGGGTACCTCTGTCCCATTCGTGTTTATACCATATATGAAGCAAGAAGAAGAAGAAAAAAAAATAAAACATATTGGGTGTAGAAGTACAATCTTTCAGCAAAGAAATAATACAATATGTGTCAAACGAGGCATCTTTATATAATAGTAATTATGTTTGTTGATCCAATTTAGGAACCTACGCGTAAAATACAAGATTATAGGTTAAATGCGAATAACTTGTTGCTACTCGAGTGTAGGTGGTTATGAGCTTATCCGAACATCTTGTCAAGTCTGATTCACTAAAGAAACAAAATAGACAATCGATTGTCGATTATTTTTAACGATTTTCAGAAAGGTTTTAATTTCGACCTGAATTGTGATATGTTCTTTGCAAATTATTAAAAATAAATAGACTTCAATCTTGCCAAAATTAGTTATACAGGAATTAAGTGTCATACAAATTTTGATGTATTTTTTTTTTCTAATTAGCATCTGATTTATTGATAATGTTATTGTTACCCAATAAAACCAACACTCTGTATAAATAGGATACTATAAGTAATTACTCATGCTGTATCCACTGCCTTCCTAAAATATTTTTGATAGCTTCGCTTTAGTTTCGCATCAACATTTTTTTTTACTTATTCTGTATACGAGTATTGAATATACTATATATATTTACAAAACTATTTGTCTCGATTGACCATCACCACGCACACAAAACTTCCAAGTCTGTGCTAAAATTTGTACATAGGTTTATTTTATGACATAAGTATCAGTTAAAATTTTTGAGAAAGTTCGTGTAAAGCCGCGCACAAAAGATAGTGTAATGGAAAAAGAAGAGACACTCAAATTTCTTGTCACTTCTTCTCAACATACAACTTACGACATGACGACAACGAATTATCTCAAAAAAAGTCAGAAGGTTTTTTCAGAATATACTGTTTCGCCCATGATACCCCCCATGCGTTGCCATTCCACCTCACTGTACCAACAGTTAGTACCCATATCAGATGTTACTGCCACCCTTCAAATCGAAACACAGCCATGCAAACACAACTGCTTCATGGTTGATACACGAATGGGACAGAGGTACCCAAGCAATCGACTTTTGTACAAAGTCTCCCTCTGGTATTTAATAATAATAAAATAAATGATCAATTATAATTATTAATTGTGACGCGTGAGCAGTACCATTTTGGACATAACAGATTCAGAGAGGGCCGAGCAAGGATATAATATTTCGCCCACGTGTCCCCCCATGGTCGTTACCATTCTCTATTACTCAGATAAAAAAATGTTATTCGTTCATTACTCAATACAGTACGATTCAAGCCATAACACCAGTGGTCGTTCAAACCGTATCACATGCATGACACCTATTAATTAAATGTTACGATTATTATCCTATTAATCAATATTATAGGTTCTAGAAATTACTAAATGTGATGTATTTGTGAAAGCAATATTATTAATAACTATAGCTGTACGTAAACTAGAATAAAACATATTTCATATATACGTTTGCATTCTTAATCTATGTATCTAGGTTATGGTTTATTTGTTTAGCGAATTAGGTGTAAACAAACATGAAACTGACTTAAATTTTAATAAAATTAGTATAGAAACTAGTACGGAAATATACATATCCTTTCGATTAAAGAGAATCATCAAACTCGGTTAAATATTTTCGCAAAAATAATTGGCGAAGATATAGCGAGATAAAATAGTTGTATTAGTAGATATGAATTTGATGTACCTAAGCGATCTACGATTGCTGTGATTTCGTCTAAGAACAAGAAATCTTTGGATTTCGTCAATATTATTATTTTTGTTATCTATGCTATATATTAAGATATATCTTTTGGAAATGCCAAAATATGAGTTCCCTACTTCTTTTATAGAATATTCTAAATAGATACGTATAATTCAAATTCCTACTATGGATATTACCAAATGTAAGAACGTCGATATAAATACCAGAATTACAAATTTTAGGTGTAGGTACTACTATGTCAAATTAAATACACAAATTTTGTATTATTTCTTGGAATCAATTTTTAATGATAAACGATGTTAACTATTCAAAAAGATACTACGGAAGGAAACAACATAGTCTGTTTATATATAGATATTTTTTCCACGACGGTTTTATGCTATTGACTATAACTATACTATCGTATATTCTCCTTATGGCATAGAACGGGATAGCATTCAGATTCTTGTTGTTTTTCTACATGTGATAACGAAAATGTATTAACAGATAGATTTATTTTTCATTTATCTAGGGTGGCAAAGACGTCAAATATATGCTATATATATATACACCAATCGACGTTATTTCCGTGAAAATTTTCATACACTCTTTCTTAATGGGATCTGGTTGTGTGTGTACTGTATATGAATGAGAGAGGTAATGAGTAATAACGGAAAAAATAATCACAAACAATATCTTACAGCAATGAGTTTTTTTATCTGTGTATGTACACATTACGATCTCATGTATTCTTTGTAAATGAGATTAGAAGAAATAAAAAGAATTGAAATTCATATAGGTAACTAGATATTATTTTTGAATAAAATACTTTTTCTATGAAAAATAAATGCATTTTCCTACCGATTTATAAACACCTAAAGTTAACGCATGATGAATCATTTTGTGTGTGCATTTGATAAAATAATTTTAAAGAGATACGATAAATGTAACTACATACATACCTAAATAAAACATCGTTCTGCAAGAGGCGTGTTTTTTATTTATTAATTATATATCATCAAATTAAAAAAAAATTATGAAATAAAAAAAAAATTGCTCACCAATAATATTCACTTTATTAAAAAAAAACATTTAAAACATAATATTTGATGTTGGTTAAATTGTATTGAATAAAATAATATTATTATTATTAATACATTTTTATAAATAATTAAGATAAAAAAAAGGTAGCATAAATGGAGAAAATATACACTTAAACCAATCGATATTATAACCTCACAAAAAATCTGTCATTTTTTTCTATTAGAGAAGATAACGTAAGTGGTTATATATATATATATATATATATATATATATATATATATATATATATATATATACATATACATATACATATACATAACACCATAGCATATACATATACATATACGATACGGATACCTATATACATATACAATACATATACATTATATATATATATATATATATATATATATATATATATATACATATATATATATGTCACATGACACAGAAAACGCGGCAAAAAATTATATTCGTACAAAGTTTTCATATCTATACGCTTATCATCACGACCATCACGGGAGTTGAAAGTGTGTTTATTATTACAATGCTTAGTATAAAATATGTTGAAATGTGTTCGTGTCAAATTTTAAATTTACCGTAACGCCTTGCTAAAATATTTTTACTGCCTACCCTATTTAAGAATGATTGTAACGCGAGTATATTTTATCATGGTTGAGAGTTATTTAAACTCATTTTGTTCATAAAATCTCTCACAACATGTAAAGATACGGTGAACGGTAGCTGTAAAAATAAAACTGTCAACCCTATTTCGGAAATTCTCTATTTTAGAAAACTAATGCCCGTAACAGGTGGGTTCCGGGCAACGGCGCCACGCGTCTGTTTCGGCTATTTTAGTTAAAACATCTAAATGTCTGCTTTTGAAGGCGTATGTTTACAGCCATGAAGAGATAACTATTTAATTTGTTTAATGACATACAACAAAATCTGCCTCGTTACATATGTTTATTTAAATATTTAACATGTTTAAATAGTAAACAAATAAAAAATATTTCCGCAATAAGACTTTGATGTTCAACAGAGAATTACATATAGCAATGTGTACCGTAATCACGTCACTGTTAGAAGTACAAATATACTTCTAAACAATGACAACGATGCTTTTTGAATTTTCTCTCTTACTTTATATTGTTGGTTATACCTTTGGGCTGTAACGATTTCGTTTAGATTTTCTATGTACCACAAACAATCACATCGATTGGTTCTCATACATATATATCGCATTATGTGAAAACAGACGACAAATATGATATATATTTATGTGGTGCAATCACAGTTAAAATCATAGACTTATACTAAATGAGACTTATACATAGAATTATATTAAATCACGTTCATAAAATAATGCTATGATATAGATATGAATCAATTCAGAAAATTTAATTTATTATATTGACCTGAAAGAAAATGGAAACCAGCGGCACCTTTACACAAATCGTAATATAAATATACAAATACACTTGCATATCGATTATGGATTAGTTTAATTAAATATAAGATATCTTTTATTCGATTTGAAATTCTAACGGATTTAGAAACTGAAATAACAAAATGATAAAATATTGAAATCTTCATAAACGAAATACACTTATTAATAAAATACATATGTACACTAAATATTATCTGTAATAATTAATCAAACAATTCAATTGTGAATGTTAGTATGTCACACTACACGCAAAAGTAAATCATTAATGAGTATTGATAAGCACTTCAAGTTTGTACCGTCCGCGTTGTGGAAAACAGATAATGTAACACAAAATCATATCTACATATAAGAGAAAAAATATCAATACTCACCTTTCCCACCTACACATTTGTAAATCACGAAAAACATACACGAATAACACAATAATGTTATAGATTTTGCAGTCATGTTTAGGTCGTTTGTGTAAAGGTGTTTGCACGTGCATAAATCAACTGGCCGAGTCAAACGATTGGTATATGAGTATATATATATACAGCGCGGTGGGCACGCTCGGCCCATACGTTATTTCCGCTCGACATCTGACACCTCTGTACTGTGTATAATGAACTGCCGAAATACAGCACCATGTATTGTAATACCGTAACTGCTAACCTCCTAATCTACTGATTAATAATGCCATTCAATATTATAAATTTAATATTACAAAGAAATTAATACGAACATAAAACTGAACACATTATTTCTTATTGCTATATTATCGATAAAGATCTAAATCTAAAAATATATAGCATATACCGTTGCCTATCTATAGTATAAATATATAGGTATATACAAACGTATTTTAATCTTTACTTAATATAACATAAGTATATATTAAAAATAGCAAATAATAGTTGGCTTTTAAATCAGAAGTCCGCAGAAAACTATTCAAATCTTATAGTAATATAGTAAATCTTTTAAGTAAAAACTTACTATTTAAAATACTTATTTATTAACAAGTGCTCTCACTGGACATTGCAAACTAAATAAGTACATGGCCCGTCTAGGCTTATGTCCAAAAACCGTTTGCAGATTTTGTCACAATGAGAAAAAAACATCACGGCATAAACGATAAATCTGTTTTGAAAAATACATTTTATATGCTGAGGAGATAAAAACATCGCTGCTAAAAACGTCTTAAACTTTCTATCACAGTCAGGAATCAGCTGCGAATTTCAAAAAATGCGCACTATGGTTCACAGAGGTTACAGGATTCTGTCCCTTAAATATCTCTGCACTATAACAGCTTAACAATTGCTATGAAATTTATTATATATAATGAGATCAAAAAAAAAAAACTTTTTTTTTTTTGATGAGTAAACATATTCGGAAAAAATTGCGGGTGTAAATAATAAATGAACTCTCTATCAATAAAAAATCATGTCTCCATAGTTTTAATGTTCGATAATTTCGATGTTTAAAACATTCGTACATATAGAAATAGATCTAATAATTTTAGAATAAAAATATTATTTGAAAATGAAAGAAAATTTTTTATAGATATATTAAGAAAAAAAATTTTCTCTTAGATTCTTACTTCATTCAGTAGAGCTGGTATAGTATAAATACAATTAGACGTGTATGAACTAATTCCATCTTGTTTACTCTCACACTATCTTATATCAATAAAATACAATTTCTTCAGTAATATGTGCCAGTTTTCTAAGTGACTTAAGTAGTAACATGCCTTCTGATTTAAGTATTTTGTGCTTCTTTTTATCAAACGATATACCTATATAATATAATTGAGTACAATATTTTCTCAGAATAGAAAACACAGTCTTTGTTCGGTGTTTTTATAATATTACAAGTGCAAAATGAAAAGTTTTCGACCTACCATAAAGACTGCTTTAAATAAATTTCTTTTTTTTTTTAATACCAGTCATCACAGTTAAATTATTTACTTTCAATATCTCTGCAGTCTATCAATTAACCACAATAGCGACCTAATTAATGTCTTAAAAGGTTTTCTTATTACGTAATTTTAAGTTTTTTTTACAACACGCAAACGCCTTGCTCACCTATTTTTACCGCCGCCCATGGTCACCCAGAATGATTGCCTTTTAAAAGGAATATATTTTTCTTGAATATGTTGTCGTATAGGTTCTATATCGAAATCTGTATACTTTAACTCTATCCAGACATCATAGTTAAAAATTTTTTTCTGGAATTTCGCTGTTTTCTCGCTGTCCCTCGTTGTCTAAGTTGTTGTCTAGTTGCTGTACAGTTTAATATAGTTTTTCACCCTACCCCTTTCTACCCCCTGTTGCAAGTAGTTTTATTGTTATTTCGAAATCTCAAAAAATCGCTCGTAAATTGTCTTTTTTCGTCGTTTTTTCTTCTTGAATTAGTTAGTTTTCGTTCCCTGTTGTCGTTAGTCTACATATCATCCCCCTACCCCCGTCAACCCCCTGAATTTTGACTATATAAACGAAATCTATTTCTCCCCAATTTCCTCCCCCCCTGTCGCTTTTAGAATTTTTCTAGTATTTTTCCCGTGCTGTGCGCTCCGTCCCAGTGCATAGAGATAGGAGCACTTTTGCGAAAAATTTGTTTTTTGACATAAGGTGGAAACAAAATCCCCCACTTTACATATGTTTATCGGTTAAATTTTTTCTATATTTTTCCCGTGCTGTTTAAATAGTAAACAAATCGACCCCGTCCGAGCAATAAACTGAGGTTGATGTCTGCTAACAAGCGTCAAGTATGCCATTAATACGATCACCTGTTCGACGACCAGTAAATCTACCTTCTGAAGTTTCCGAAGTTCGCGAAAAGCCCCCTCCCCCAAGACGGCTGTCTACAGATTTCTCCCCCTCTTGGCGACCTATCGGAGTTACGCCGCCTTTAGAAACTTCTTGCGTTAACAGCCAACGATGCTGGTCGACTGTGCTTCCCTAACTTATTCTCTCTAAACCCTCAGAACCTTGACTTATATTGTTGGCATACAAAGTTTGCCTTGAACATAGTGGATACATTTAACGGTCTCTGCAGAGATGAGAAATCGTGCCATAGAAATGGCGCACCATAACAATCGCAGGCGGTTCATACATAGAGAAACGAGAGACTTATCCGACATGAAATTGCGGTACGTAAATAACGATCAATAATTATAGACTCGTCACAGTCCCATTTGCGATACCTCAATATGCCTCACATACTGACTTAAAGACGACAATATATTGTCAGAACAGCAAACACTCAAAAAACTTTGGTCGCCTTATCTGGAAGGTCATATGCGCATCGCATATAAATACCCCCAAATACACTTGCATATCGATTATGGATACCAGTTTAATTAAAATAAGATATCTTTTATCATTTGAAATACGCGCCGATCAAGATACAGGGCATCTAAAACAAGCTCCGCATCGAGTTCGAAGATGCAGTGCAAAGGGATGAGACTATCAAGAGATTGATGACGCTAAGAACTCACCGTTGAAGCTGCTCGCCACGAAATCGACCCATGGTCATCCTCAAAGGAGTGTCTAAGGATGTATTACGCGAAGAAATACCTGATTTGCTCGCATCGCAAAATGAACAAAAGTCAAGCTATTATTGATGACATCAAGCTGCGATTCGTCAGAAATAACAGAAACAACTATCAATTGTGAATGTCGCCCCAGCGGTTTGGCGAGTCGCTGTTAATTTGATCACCACAGAGTGCATATAAGCGTAAATCGTTCAAATGTCTCCAATTTGGCCACCTCCAAAATCAATGCGACGCTGAAGATCTGGTTTGCGCCCACTGCGCGCAGCGCGTCATTCTGCCTCTGACTGTATATCCAAAAAATCAGCCGATCAACTACAGTGTGCCAACTGCATAATCATTCTAGATTTAATGCTAGAGACACCAAAATATCTCTAACTCACCCCCGTTTGCGAGCCATGAGAGAACGCATCACAAATCGTATAAATTACGACTCCCAATAACAAGTTAAATATAATAACAACAATAATGTAAGAATGGGCTATACGATGACCTGTTCTCTAATGACTGGTAAACATCAAATCGCTTTGTTAACGGAACCATATGTAGGATCAGGTAAAAGGTTAAATCAATACATGGGCTGCAAATCTATCAATATTCTCAGGATTCTCGTACAGTTAAGGCATGCATAGCTATAGTGCCAGACTGTGGCATCAAACGATCGGGCTTGGTTCTACCCCCAATATGTGCGTAATTGACCATGGGGACAATAAAACCTTCCTGGTCTCCATCTATGTAGAACCCAATGAAGATGTGTACTCCACAATGGATAAGCTAGAATACTTTCTGAAATCACACCTCACTGAGCACATTATAGTGAGTGGAGATTTTAACGGCTGGCATCCGACATCTGACCAATCGCCGTGGTATCTGTTTATGACCTGATGAATGCCACCGATCTCTACCTTTGCAACGTACACCACACCATGTTTGAAACGGTGACCGGGCGTAATCAATTATCGACCTTACACTGGCTACTGACAATGCTCACGGTGATTGGCGAGTGGATAACTGGCTGCCCATCGTCACAATATAATGCTATCGTTTAATATTGCAAAGTAGCAACCAAAATCGCACCACCACCTACCGTTTCAACAGCAAGCGTGCTAAAGTTTAACACTTTATTTCAAATATTGCTATGATATATCCACAGACATCTGCAGTGTTAGCATGGATGAATTGGAAGGATTAATATATAAGCAATACAGCAAGCGTGTAACGATCTATGCCTATAAATATATAGGTATATACAAACCGTTGTGGTGGACCGACCGGCTTGACGAATTAATATAACTGCATGCAGCAAAACGAAGTATATATTGACACAAAATAGCAAAAATCTAGTATGCCAAAGAGCTTAAAAAGGAATCAACCAAGAGTTTTCGCGAATTCTGTGAGTTGCAGAATAAGGAGAATGTGTGGTCTCTCACCAATCGACTCCTTAAAGACTAATAAATATACTACTGATATACTACTGATGGACGGGAAACCGCGAATGCTCTCTTAAAACATTTCTACCCTGACGACACGCCGGATTCACTCTCCGAACACGCTGACACACGTAGAGCTGCTGCTTGCGTCCCACGCACGAGTGATGATGAACCATTTTCTACTGAAGAAATAATGGAACAA